CGCTTTCCTGGCTTCCCCCTCTCGCGTTTACCAGGTTCTCCCCCTCCCGCTTTATCTGGTTCTCCCCCTCTCGCGTTTACCAGGTTCTCCCCCTTCCCGCATTTACCTGGTTCTCCCCCTCTTGCGTTTACCAGGTTCTCCCCTTCCCGCGTTTACCTGGCTCCCTCCTGCTTTACCAGGCTCTCCCCCTCCCCGCTTTACCTGGTTCTCCCCCTCCCCGCTTTACCTGGTTCTCCCCATCTCCCCGCATTTACCTGACTCTCCCCTCCCGCATTTACCTGGTTCTCCCCCGCCCGGATTTACCTGACTCTCCCCCTCCCGCATTTACCTGGTTCTTCCCTTCCCGCTTTACCTTACTTTACCTTACCTACCTATCTTTTATTCTTGTTGTTTGTGCACAGGGCGTGCGTGCGGTGTACTTGTGTGTTGCAGATGAGCATTTGAACGGCATTTCCAGCAAGTTATCGGAAATAATAGGCGCAATGAGTAGAGGAGATACATTAAGACTTTGGTAGTAAATACATTTCGTGTTTATTTACCATTATTTTTTTATTGAAGCGTTCCAAGTGCAACGTCAAACACTTATTGACTATATACGTCTTTGTGAAGTAACAGCAAAATTAAATCACGGAAATTGCTTATCTACTATTAAAAAAAACATTGTGGGTGCCCATCCCTTTTCACAATTGTGTTTTTGGAAACATTTTGGAATCTGGTTGATATTCAGCGTATACTGTATAAGCTGTATATTTCGCGGTGGTTTAATTTTCGCGAATTTCGCGAACGCGTCCCCGACCGCGAAAATAACAACACGCGAATCATTCATACCGAATAATACATATTTCACCGACCGCGAAATTAACCACTCGCGAAATTGTCCGTCAAGTCTGAATTCGCGAAATATCTGTACGCGAAAAATACGGCTTATACAGTATTCTTTCTGTACGTGTGAAGCTTTCATGTTAATTAAACAGATGTCTGTTGGTATTCAAGCAGGGACTGCGAATTCTTTTTTAGTATGTACTTCTGTGAGTGAGCGAGTGAATGAGCGAGTGAGTGAGTATCGCCTTCTTTATACGCTCTTGATACTGTAATACGCGTGTTGCTACTATTTGTATTGTCCTAGCTACTTCTATTAGCTATAAAATTACCACCGGATACGCTTCTCGAATCTGACTGCGATCGAATTCCTCACTATTAAATCGAATTCACGGACGAAGTTTTGAAACAAATTACGACTGGAAATCGTGCACTTCCTCTACGAAATGGAAGAGAGGGAAGAGTTATTAGCTTAGGTCAGAGCGGAGACGAACGTTTGACGGCGACTTCAGAAACATCCTGTGATATAGGGCTAAATTAGGACGAGCGTAACTTGGTAGGTAGTGTCACGATAAGATTATGTCATTAAGAACAAATGAGAAGGTACGACGAATAGCTGGAGTAAGAGACGTTAAGGAAGTTGTAATGCAAAGTAGGATGAGATGGTATGGGCATGTGGTTAGGAAGAGAGATGAGGAGAAAACGAAGAGAGCATGGCAGGAGCCAGGAGCAGTGAGAGAAAGAAGGACGAGAGAACGACAAAGAATTAGATGGAGGGATGGAGTTGAGGAGATGAGAAGGTTGGGAGTAGCGGAGGACGATACGGCCGATCGAGGAAGGTGAAGAATCATCAACAGGGAGGTCAGCCCCTAGCTGACGTCTCAGCGTGGACCATCCGCGAGAGACTACGACAAAGAAGAAGTCATGGTGAGATTAGGTACATGATTTGTTGTGAGGCACGCGGCGCTGGGATATATAGCCACCAGGGACGGGGCAAGAGAGACAACATTCATAAAGTAAAATAATAAGCATAATAAATGTAAACAGGGCATCGCATACGAACGCATGCGTTCAACGCGCACAGTTTTTAGTGGGTTTTTGGCGAATAAGTTCGGCGAAGGAACTGCAAACTGAAGAAAATGCAACTGCAAAAAATATTTAAAAGTCTGTATTAACCTCACCTAATTAAGCCCGGCGCACACGTGGCGATTTTTATCGACAGTACCGTCGATTTTTATCGCCGGTACTGTCGATAAAAATCGC